TCGTGTTTACAGGCTTGTATAAACCTGAAATCGTGACAATTGTTGTGGAAAATGAAAGCTATATGTTCTCACAATCTACTGTCATTTAATTTTGTCTCCTGCTTTGCCTAGTTTCCGAGTTACAACCTGTTTTCATAGACGATTCTGTCAAAATCGATTGGTGTCGTTAGGCCCTATTTGTATAATGACTGATCCGAATTAATCCCATTTCTGTGTTTTTTTACCTCGATATTTAATCATGTCATGTAAAAATCTGTTTGTATTCTCAAAAGAGTGTCGGCCCATAAGTTTTCACATGCAATACAGCAATTAATACTCCCTCGTTGTAACCCGTGTTAGGTGGTATAAACCTACACATGTTATTTGTCATCATTCACTTGATGGTCAGTTAATGAATTTATAACAGGTATAATTAGTGGTAACACACTTAGATTACCCGACAAAGGTTCCCAATTGGCATTTCTTGTGTCTAGAGTAAATATTCAACATTATAAACATCGATCAAAGGATTAACCGATAACACGCTGATTGATTAATTACTTTTATCTTACACAGCGGAATTGTCAAAAGGTAGTGTTTATGTATGTAGATTTACTAATCTATACTGAATACACTCTGTCGTGTCGGTGTCTGCGTAAAAAACAACGTCCTTCTTTCAAAGGATTAACCGGCAATACATTGATTGATTGCCCATTATTGGCTAACTAAATTACTGTTTTTAAAGAAAGGTGGACACTATGCAATTAGTTGCCAGGTGTGCTATCTTGGGTGACTAATGAGACTATACACCAATACCTGACAAGATTTATCACTTTTTCGTATATTAAACTGTTAAAAGACACATCATTTGGAACAGTTTTGTGGATATTGATGGATACATTCCTCGAACAAGGTAATGGCCTGATATTGTTCCTATAACTTTAATCTGTTTTAATTTTAATATTTGCATTTTGTTTTTATTCATTTGTCGTAGCATTCAACAGAATCATTGTTTTCGCCGTGAAGTGTAATGAGACAGACAACATGCACTAGGGTGTGTGTGCGAATTATGATTCACATTGGCAAACTATAAAATGTCTAGATATTACAGTTCTGTTATAAATTCACTATAAGTATCAGCAGATCGTCTGCTTTTTATTTAGTTTCAAAATGCATACAAGTGTGATAATAAACTAATTAGGATTATAAGACCAAATATAAAGACGCACATTGACTAGTATCTACATACTGGTGAGTGGACATTAACCATGGGAATGTAGCAAGAAATGTATCGCGCAGTATTGTGACTTCGACCCCCACCTCGCTTCCGTGGAAGAAATCGTTATGTTATAAGTTGTGTCATGCAAAATCCGTTTGGTTATGATTCCAATACATATTTAACAACGAGTAGAAAGTAGTCTTGATTTTCTAACTTGATGAAAACAAACTATAATCTCATTAATTCTAACAGATTTTTTATTTTTAAAAATGGCGGCGCCCTCTCGGGAACATCCGCCAGTCTGAGGATAAATGGTATTTAGGTTTGTTTTCACCGAGTTACAAAATCAAAACTACTTTCTACTGGTAGTAAAATATGTATTTTATTGATAGCCAATAGGATTTTGCATGACATAGCGTATATCATAACAATTTCTCTCGTGGCAGCGAGGTGGGTGTCAATATAATACTACTTACAATATTATTGTTACTTCGACCACAACCTCACTTCCGAGGAAGAAATCGTTATGTTACAAGTTGTGTCATAGAAAATCTTTATGGTCATCAATCATATGCATATTTTACTACAACTAGTAAGTAGTTTTGATTCTTTAACTTCCGTGAAGCGATCTGAACACAAGTAAGATATCGTTTCAGGCTTCCACAACGCTCGCTTCGCACTCACAAACATAACCCATTTAGCACGAACTGCGGGGTCCTGTGGAAATCTGTGCATGGGGACACCATCGCCCGACCCCTAGGAGCAATTGACGACAAAGCAACGATTCGGCATGTCGTCGTTGATGTCGAGAAATCATCAAAATGATGAGCGTGCTACGCATTTTCTATACAACTAACTGAAAATCGTTCCTCATATGACGTCACTGCAGTGCTCTGGCGACAGAGTTACGTAACCTGTCTGTGGTTTCGTTGGCGGGCGAGAGGGAAGCAGGCGACTTTTTGGCCACTTTTAATCGCTCGGTATTAATTAACCACAAGTTTTTAAAGAATAAATTTGGTGTTCCGCATAAGACTAACCACAAATCTTTCATATGTAATGGTTAAAAGAGTAACAAAAAACAAAGTTTAGTGGTTCTTTAACCACTAGGCTACCCCACTAGCCGTTACGGTTCACTCCCAAAAGACAGACCTCCCAAAAGACAGACCACCCACTAATTAGCAGAGCCAAGCTGTCCACCCCTATTTAATTAATGAGCTGATCCAGAGTTACTACAGAGTATAGCAACAACAAGCTCCTATCTCCTGTGCCTTTCTCAAAACATATTACTAATCCTTTTACTGAACAGAACAGAACAGAATTTTTATTCTCAAAAATCACATATAGTGACACAGAGAACATACAGCATATTGATGCATATTAAAACATTGAACAATGTAAACTTTGATAAATTTGGCAACTTTAGAGTTAAGTGGTGAATAAGCACATGCAAACTTATGTTATTTTGAAAGAAGTATTTATTAAATCTAAATTATCACATAGAGGACACTGAAGGAAATAATGGACAGGATCCACTCTAGTGTTTCCACAGGAGCAGGTTCGGCTGTCTGATAAACATCTGTCAAACAAGTGGGAGTTAAGCTCACTGCACTTTTTGCAATCCATCACACGGAGACCAGGATGTTTTTTATTACTGAAGGTGAAAGTAAAATTCAGAATAAACGAAGTATATAACTGGAGAACAGGATGTTTTATAATCGTTATTTTCCCCATGACTTTTCTCCTATGACTTTTTTCCGATCACCCTCCTAGATGGCTACCTGTATATCAAGATGGCTACCTGTATTTCAAAACACACTATACCTAGTGTGTTTGAAAATCAGAACATGCTATGCTGAATTGATGGCGACTAAATTTCAATTGGAACCGAACGCGTAGCGTGAGGTTTCAATTGATATATTTAGTCGCCATCAATCAATAAATGTCTCTGATTTTCAAACACACTAGGGTTATCTCCATTCTACCATGAACCATTTAAAATCGAACTTCCTCGCTCTGCCGAAGACACTGCGTAATCCGGCATGGGACGAGAGGCGAATTGAACTCGTCTGTGAAGGGGCGGTAGGTGCCGTTCGTATTTTTTAAACATTACAACATAACAATATTCTGTCCACAGAAATCAAACTACTGTTTAATCAATGCAATTAAATTATGTAATACCCGAGATCTTGGGTTTTTCATCCCAACTCCACACGACTAAAACCAGCCTATTGTTTTGTGTGCCGTGAAACTGTACCCCCTGGCCACACTATAATGGAATCGCCTGACCTACTTATTTTCTTCAGAAGTAGACAGTTACGCAACAGTTTGAAATGGCGGACGAGCCAGTGTTTACATTTGCGAAAGGTTGAAATTTGAAGTGACAGTGGGTAATACTTGACTGACTGTCGAATCTGAACCCTGCAGAATCGAAGAATAGATCCTTTCCTGATCAACCTACGACCTGTAACTCATCAAAGACTGTTGATTTTTATGACCGGCCGATCATGATTTCATGTACTGCCTCAACCCCGGCATGCGACAAAAGGGTGACAGTGCTGCTGCTTAGTGTAATTGCGACTAACTTGTGATTCCTTGGAACTTTGTTTTCTTCGTTTGGGACTGGACTGTGTCCAAGCGTTTTCAAAGTAGATGAACATAACAGTGACAACCTTGCGGGAAGCTGTCAGAGAGCAGAATTATTCTGTGAACGATGCAACGGGATATGATGGAGTATGACTGTGAGTGGCATAAATGTGGTGTTTCGCCAGACCGTTAGATCTACTAGTATCTTGCAAATTTCCCATTCTAAACGGAATTAAATATACCATTTACCAGGTAGGTAAATGTTTACTAATGTTTTTCTGCATAGTTTGTATAGGTAGGGATGTATTTTTACAAGGCTTTCTGATTTATATGTTACATATTGTTTTGTTTATGTTTGGGGCTGTGTATTGCAACTGAGTTTGAATATTTTAATAATAGAATTAATATGATAGTGAGGTTCCCTCATATAATTGTTGGGGTCCGGGGGTCATATTATTGTATTTTTCGAGTTTAAATAAATGTTTATCAGCATTTCCATCACGTCTGTTGTGTTGATATCCCAGCTAACACGAAAATGTTTTAAAACTATCCCCAAAACATTTCGTGAAATGTTCCAGAAACATTTTTTAAAATGTTTTATTCACGTGATTTTGTATGGTCCCAGAAATGTTTTAGAAACATTTTCAAAAACGTTTAACTATAAGGTTTTTAAAATGTTTACCGGAAATGTTTTTTCGAGATGTTTTGGAAATGTTTTAAAAAATGTTTTATTCACGTGATTTTGTATGGTTCCAGAAACGTTTCAGCAATGTTTTCTCCAACATTCAGTGAATATATTCCATAAAGGTTTTCTGAAAACGTTTTATAGATATGATTTTGTATTGTTCCGGAAACGTTTTAATAACATTTCCTTTGAACATATAGTTTTAACTTTTCAAGCATATAGAATAGCCCTGATAACAATTAGGTGGTGTTTTGTTTAAAACGTAAACCACTAGAACAAAACGTAGAACACTAACAGTTAACAATGTACATAATATGTCTGTGGCAAATAGTTAGACATATACATAGGGGCGTGTCTCACTTAGAAACAGCGTTAGAAAGACATATAGATGTCTAGACTCAACCCTTTTACTATATAATAGGGTTGGGTCTATACCTCTATATGTCTTTCTAACGCTATTTCTAACTTATGTCCCTATGGACATATATAGTTAATCTTTACAAGGACACCAAAACAGATAAAAGAATGGCAGACTTGTAATCAACAATTTTATTAATAATTCTGGAAACGTGTACACTTTTTCAGTTTGTTTCATTATCTTCTTCTTTGCTTTTGCAGTCATCCATATTTCTGAAATATAGAAAACTTTCAATAATCTTAAGCAGGTACTTGAAATGTGATATTTACTCAAACCAAGTGACACTAACCAGGAAACTAAGTCTTCTACCACGTTTGTACAGACACGTGTTTGGTGGACATGAACACACTATTGGAATGTAATGATTGATATGATAATATCCAGAATCATGCTGAATACCAAAGATGTAGCAAGCACAGAATATCACTTACTGGTCAGAGGCTGGGTACAAGTACAAATCAAATCTTGCAATAAAAAGCCCAAAATATATCAACATGTTTATAGACAATGGTATTTAACAGCTGCACTTACATAATTCACAGCTCCTGGATTATTTGATGTGTTCCTCCATAAATCCATCATGTGTAACAGTGTGTTTGTATATCCTGGAATGCTTGTCTCATATTCGCCCTTGCTTTAATGAAAATAACAATGTTCCACATTATCACAAGTTATAAATTGAACCGTTTTCCATAAAGCATATAAAGTAGATATAGTTAGTCTAACGCTGAAACATACTATGTAATTGCCTCAAGTTTTTGGTGGGTGCCCATTTACAACAAACTTGGATTACTGGCGAGCGTTTCTAGCCCAGAATTGATTTATTACACATCCATTGTAACTAGCTACATGATTCAAGCCTTACACGCGGAACAGTCGCAGCTGCAGTACGATTTCGTTGCGAGCATTGTAACCAGATTCTTCAGTTTTCAATCACGATGTTTTCGGTTTCACCGAAACATCATTTCACCAAGAATTGTAACAACTTTATTTGGTCCAACATTTACTAAACTGAGACCACGCCATTTTCACTATGGAATACTGTACCATGAAAAATCATGAAAAAACCTAATCAACACGGTTTCAAACGATGTCACTTATATATTGGTGTCAAACCTCGACATTGTTTATATCTCCTTCCTGCAAAAGCAATTAGATCAATATTTTTATGTAAATCATCACCAAACATTGATCACCTCACTGACAATATATTGTGATAGTCTGTGGCCATACACTGTGGTATAGCAAGTGGCCATACAGTGACAACTCATAGCCGAGGACTAGTCATCGCCAACGCCCGTTATAGTGTAGGCCACGTTTATTTCTGGCTCTTGTCTAGAAGGGAAATACATCTATCCAAAACCGATCAATTAATTTGTCTGGGGAAATTTAAGAATACACAGTGTAAACAGAGTACCTTTAATAAGAGACCATATAATAAATATTATTTATTATATCGTCTCTGCTTTAGTATAACGCTTGAAAACATGCGGTAATAGTGGACAAACAACAATCCGACAACCCAGCAGATGGTCATTTTAACATTTAGTTTAGTCAGTGTTAATTAACAAGAATGCGTCTGTCATTTCTTTTAAGAAATAGTTTTTTATAACATGCACACACTATGACAGCCAGTAACTATCCCACAGTCAAGTGGATCAGAAACTAATTTCGAAATTATTTCGATTCCCCATTTTCGTGGTATAAAATCGACGCAACTTTCCAACGACTTAAACGAGCAAAATTGTCATAGTTTAAAAAATTGAAAATTAGCTGCAATGTTAAATTAATAAAATGTCCTTCAGAAATAACATGGAAAAAATTAACAACGATAAGGGCCACTGGCTTGTGCATACGTTTACGATCGAAAACCGAACGTAATAGCGGCATTAACCGCCTTACTGAACTCTGCTTGAACACATATTGCTCGCTCTTGATAGCCTAATTATCCTTTTATTTATGTAACATAAAATTAATTAGGTACAAACTCTCTTAGACATTCTTCACAACGATATAATATATATCCAAAGCGAGCTGAATTCGATGTTCTGGTGATTTCGACGATTACATTGCTCGCGCTATATCGGGGGGATTATGTTCGCGATCGGAGTTCACAAACAGTTTCACTGGTAGGGCGGATGCAAAAATATCAATATTATTTACCCGAGATCGTTAATACCACTTCAGATGCAAACAATTGCCTATATAACCAAATATAGCAAAAAATCTGTAAGATCTGTCGTCTGCTGGTGACAAGCAATATACCAGATATAAACAGGAAGCCACGTGATCACAACACTCACTCGCATGGCGGAGCGAAATGTATACAAATCCCAGATGTGGAGATGTTTCGCCGATAAGATATCATCAACGCTATTTTTGTAGGAAACACTTGATATATTTGGTGTGAAATAGATAAATATATCCCTTTTCACTCAAGGTTAGTAAAATAAAATTACGTTTTTGTCTTACATCATCGAAAAAAACCCTGTCACCGGGATTCTCTGTTGGAACACTGAATCACGTTTCTCAAAACCCCACTACTTTTGAGTAACACAGTATTTTAATCGAGTGAATATCAAAATGTACATAAACATGAAAATAATGACTGTAAAATTAACTCACCGCAACCGAGGTCACATCGATGATCCAGTTCCAGTTGTTGCACCATGAGTCGAATGACAAGGTGGTAGGGTCCTGAATAAACTTCAACTAAGATGGCGGGTGCAAAATTATGACGTGATGGGTGACGTCATTCCGACGTCATTTCCCGCGGTAACAATAAGGCATTGTGTCGCAACATTTTTAAAATGTTATCAAAACGTGTAGGTGTGATATCATTTCAAAACCCTTTTAAGAACAAGTCATAATAAAAACACATTTTAAATGTGATGACAGATCCGGCTAAAACATTTCAGGAACGTTTAGGCACTTTAATGACAAGTCATACATTAGAACGTGGCTGAGTGAGATAATTGTTTGTGATTGCAGTGTATGTACTGTTTATGTCACACCAACGTTACAACAGAAACCGTGTTTTAAAACGTGATCACAATTAAACATGTTCGTGCACATCATTTCTGCAATGTTTTAAAAACATTTCAATCATATGTTATGAAATAGTTTCACCCATGTTACAGCATGACGTTTCTGAACAACATTTTGAAAACATTTCAAAAACATTTTCAGTATTTTTGAGATATTCACACATTATTTGTATGACTTTGTTCTTGCATAATCTCTGCAGCGTTTTAAAAAATCTCACTAATATGTTGTGAAATGGTTTCAAACACGTTATAGCATGACGTTTTTGAACAACATTTTGAAAACATTTCAAAAACATTTTCAGTATTTTTGAGAGATTTAGACATTATTCGTATGATATGGCATAAATGTGTGCACAATGTTTTTAAAACGTGATGACAATATTTCATTAAACATGTTCTTGCATAACATTCCTGCAACGTTTTAAAAACATCTCACTAATATGTTGTGAAACGGTTTCAAACACGTTATAGCATGACGTTTTTGAACAACATTTTGAAAACATTTCAAAAACATTTTCAGTATTGTTGAGAGATTTAGACATTATTTGTATGATATGGCATAAATGTGTGCACAATGTTTTTAAAACGTGATGACAATATTTCATCAAACATGTTCGTGCACAATATTTCTGCAACGTTTTAAAAATATTTCAATGACATGTTATGAAATAGTTTCACTCATGTTATAGCATGACGTTTTTGAACAACATTTTGAAAACATTTCAAAAGCATTTTCAGTATTTTGGAGAGATTGAGACATTATTTGTATGATATGGCATAAATGTGTGCACAATGTTTTTAAAACGTGATGACAATATTTCATCAAACATGTTCGTGCACAATATTTCTGCAACGTTTTAAAAATATTTCAATGACATGTTATGAAATAGTTTCACTCATGTTATAGCATGACGTTTTTGAATAACATTTTAAAAACATTTCAATAACATTATGAAACATTTTTATAACGTTCCAAAAACATTTTGACGAAAATGTTTTTGAAAAACTATTTTGAAACCTTATGAAAATGTTTCGAAAATGTTTTGTGTTAACTGGGTATTAGTCATGTTGGTGGTCAAGCTGAAGTAGTGCGGCAGTGTTCTATACGTGCGCAGTGAAGCGCAATGAAATCAAACGCATTTTTAATCCAAAAATTTCCAATTGCCTATGTGGAATATTCGAAAGTCAGCGTCAAAATCCATGGAGTTGTTGTTATGATCCGCCATCATTGTGTCTTTCAGTGGCATTTAGAAGTTGTACATTGATGTCCAAGATATTTTTATGGATTAAACTTCTTTTTTAATTTCTCTCACAACGTTTCGAGACCATTCCAGGTCCCTTCATCAGTTCACCTGATGAAGGGACCTGGAATGGTCTCGAAACGTTGTGAGAGAAATTGAAAAAGAAGTTTAATCCATAAAAATATCTCCTCCATCATTGTAGTCAAACGGAAGTAGTTCGCACAATAAGATTTGTTAATGCGCGGTGAAGCGGCCTTACAATCAGATAAACGTCATTATTACCCACGTGGTCAACGTATGGGTAGTTGCATATTAATCTCGTACGTCACACGAGTGTCGTATCGCGTTGACCTGTGTCGTAACGACTTGACCTGAGATTCTAACGATTTGATTGGATAACCGATGACCTCTCAGTTAGGTCACATTCTGACGTAACTATTTTTTCATTCATAACAAACACGTGAATTCATTCATTCTACAACTTAAATGCATTGTGGGAATGTAAACATTGCGAACGTTGCCGTGTCGCTGTTTAATTGTGAGTCGAACTGAGACATTATATCTGTCGAAAAGGTCAACGCAATGTTTCCACCAGTGATGTTAGCCGAATGTAGCAACTGGAAACCAAGAAACGAGGTGCAACGGAGTAGTTTACTGTAGGAGGCTGTACGAGGCGATGACAACTGACATGCATCGTGACGTCGGTTACCATGGCAGTGACGTCATTAGTGTGACGTCATGCATATATTGTACTACAGTACAAAACTCTTCCGCAACCTCTTTATGAAACCGGTTTCGGTTTGAAACCAAAAACATAACAAAAATACGCTATTTTGTCAATTTAAATGCATGTAAGACGTGGGTAATAAATAAAATACCACACTCGGTCTCATTACATACGAATTATACGAAACTCGTGACCTTCCTATGTTATCTGACCTCGCTTTCGCTCGGTCAGATACCATAGGAAGGACACTCGTTTCGTATAATTCGTATGTAATGAGACCGAGTGTAGTATTCTCTATATCCACAATTGATGCCGTCTGATTTTTCTGAACAACCAATCAGAATCTAGTATTTTCTCGATTGATATATTTAGTCGCCATCAATTCAGTAAAGCATGTCTCTGATTTTCAGACACACTAGGGTTATCTCCATTCTACCATGAACCATTTAAAATCGAACTTCCTTGCTCTGCGGAAGACACTGCGTAATCCGGCATGGGTCGAGAGGCGAATTGAACTCGTCTGTGAAGGGAGCGGTAGGTGCCGTTCGTATTTTTTTAACATTACAACATAACAATATTCTGTCCACAGAAATCAAACTACTGTTTATTCAATGCAATTATGTAATACCCGAGATCTTGGGTTTTTTTTCATCCCAACGCCACACGACTAAAACCAGCCTATTGTTTTGTGTGCCGTGAAACTGTACCCCCCTGGCAACACTATAATGGAATCGTCTGACCTACTTATTTTCTTCGAAGTAGACAGTTACGCAACAGTTTGAAATGGCGGACGAGCCAGTGTTTACATTTTGCGAAAGGTTGAAATTTGAAGTGACAGTGGGTTATACTTGACTGACTGTCGAATCTGAACCCTGCAGAATCGAAGAATAGATCCTTTCCTGGTCAACCTACGACCTGTAACTCATCAAAGACTGTTGATTTTTATGACCGGCCGATCATGATCACAGGGGCTTGTAACGCTAAAAACTGTCATCAAGGCATATACTATATACAGATAGTATATGCCTTGATGGCAGTTTTTAGCGTTACAAGCCCCTGTGATCATGATTTCAGGGACTGCCTCCACCCCGGCATGCGACAAAAGGCTGACAGTGCTGCTGCTTAGTGTACATGCGACTAACTTGTGATTCCTTGGAACTTTGTTTTCATCGTTTGGGACTGGACTGTGTCCAAGCGTTTTTCAAAGTAGATGAACATAACAGTGACAACCTTGCGGGGAAGCTGGCAGAGGGCAGAATTATTTTGTGAACGATGCAACGGGATATGATGGAGTATGACTATGAGTGGCATAAATGTGGTGTTTCGCCAGACCGTTAGATCTATCTTGCAAATTTCCCATTCTAAACGGAATTAAATATACCATTTACCAGGTAGGTAAATGTTTACTAATGTTTTGCTGCATATTTTGTATAGATAGGGATGTATTTTTTACAAGGCTTTCTGATTTATATGTTAGATATTGTTTTGTTTATGTTTGGGGCTGTGTATTGTAACTGAGTTTGAATATTTTTATAATAGAAGGTAATATGATAGTGAGGTTCCCTCGTAATTGTGGGGGGGAAATCATATAATTGTATTTTTCGAGTTTAAATAAATGTTTTATCAGCATTTCCATCACGTCTGTTGTGTTGATATTAGTCATGTTGGTGGTCAAGCTGAAGTAGTGCGGCAGTGAAGCGCAATGAAATCAAACGCATTTTTAATCCAAAAATTTCCAATTGCCTATGTGGAATATTCGAAAGTCAGCGTCAAAATCCATGGAGTTGTTGTTATGATCCGCCATCATTGTGGTCAAACGGAAGTAGTTCTCACAATAAGATTTGTCAATGCGCGGTGAAGCGGCCTTACAATCAGATGAGCGTCAATCCACAATTGATGCCGTCTGATTTTTCTGAACAACCAATCAGAATCTAGTATTTTCTTGATTCATGGTAGAATACCTAATGCTGTCAATTTTATCTGGGCACATACCATTATTATCAAGGGTACAGCTTATTAAAGGTCACATGCAACGTAAAACACAACTTTGCAGATTCTGATACCTTTCGGTATGGACTTACCGAAACAAATCATCAAAAATGCAAATTCAACTTAAAAAGTTGAAAAATAACGCGATGAAAAAAAATCACTAACTTTCCCCCAGCGCTTGGGGGAATTCAAGTGGTTTCAACTGCTGAGCTGCGCTCATAGCACATGCGCAGTGAAATAGGTTCGCGCAGGTTGGAAGCGGGTTGTCCGGTGAATACTCGGAGAAGGCTTTGGTGTGAGCTATTTTTCTAATGTTTTGTTGATATTTCACAGGCGCGAGCTTTTTATGTGTTATGACAGTAGATTAACTGTTTATATACATGTAATTTCATTTGTCTGTTTCACCACACGTTCTTTTTACCGAGTCACTTTCTCAGTTCGATACTTAAAAGCAATGTCATTATTTAGCGTTGACAGAATTTCTAACTGTGATATAGATATGTCGTCGTCACAGACAAAACTCAATGTCTGTTTTATTGACACCTATGTGTCTGCCTGCCTGTCTGCTAATAACAATATTCAATACACAACTTCGATCACTGACCACATGCAGTTTGAACTTAACTCCTATCAGGCTATACACCATAAACAAAAACGCATTGATTTATGGCCCGAGTTCGGTCTCTGTCACATTATGTAATTACACAGACTAGCAGGTGTGATACTTGTTGACTCGACATGTTATGATGTATGTTGATT